GAAAGCCCCAATCCAAACATAACCAACAACATAAACCCATCTCCATCACAAGGCTCATGACACTCACATCTAAATAAATAAATAAATAAATAGTCTTCAATCACATCATGTTTTGAGCTCCACCACCCTCTATAATATAACAACAAAAACTCCCATTTCATAAATGAAGAACACTTAAAATATAAGTAGATGCCTCTTTACCTTTCCCTTTACACCAAAAAGCAAAACCACCACACCCAAAAATACACCAAACAAAACCAAAACCACAAAATGAATAAAAATATATATATTTAACTTAAAAATAATTTTTTCTAAATAAATCATTAAGCTATTTTCAAATCATTTTATAACTCTAAGATAATTCCAAAAATATTTTATCACCCAAAACTATCCAATTTTAGAAAGAAAAAAAACTCTTAAAAGACAACAATATCATATTAAAAAAAAAAAAAGCGAAGAGAGAAAGAAATGAATTATTATTTTTTGACAAATACTCACCGCCCTCTATCATCCATCAATGAAATAATAATAATAACTATTATTATTATTATTATTATTACTATTAAATAAATAGTAGTAATAATATTTTTTTTTTTTAAATATTTGTAATCGATTCGTTATCTCTTTCTCTCTAGGGCTCCTGTCTTCCTTCCTTTATAACCCAAAAAGAAAACGGAAAAAATGAAGAAAGAAACTTTATAGCTTAATTAATCAGCATGAATTATTGTTGTCGTCTAAGCTGCACCCAATTCTCACTGTACAGAAACGGATCCTTCTCTCAAGAAAAACCCTTTAAGGGTTTTTAGCATTCAGTGCCTTTGTTTTGTTAGATTTAGATTATTTTTTTTTGGATTAAGAGTTTTGCAGTTTTTTTATTTTTGTGGGGTTTAAAGATTTAAATAGAAAAAACCCAAAAGAAAGAAAGTGAAGATGATGATGGATGGGGGTGGCGTCGAGCGAACTCCCAAGATTGGAGATAACTCTACAGGTTTGTTTTCTTGATTAATTCTTTGGAGATCTGTTTTGTTGCTGTTTGTGTTCATTTCTCGATCGAATGAAGGAAAACATCATGGGATGCTGTGTAAATGGTTTGTTTAAGTTGTTTGGTTTTGTGGGTCAACGTTAAAAAAATGTGGGCTAACTTTGAATTTTAGCATGATTTGTGTTTATAGGATCTGCTTTGTTTTGAGCTTAGTGGAACTTGATGGGTTTATTTGAAGTTAAACTGAACAGTTGTATATTAGCTTTAAATAGTTAAGTTAGTCCTTGGATTTTGCAAATTCTGTTGTTGCTTTTGTTGTTAATGGTTGATAAGGGAATGCTTTTTTTTTTTTTTGATTTATTAGTTAAGATTAGCTTCAGGCTGAGCTTAATGTAAATTATTAATGCGTTCTTGCTCAAGCACTTGCCATCCATTTGTTTGATGCATTTTTGGTTTTGTAATGTGAGTTTAGCTTCTCTAAACATGGAGGGTGCACCATTTTATTGGAATTGACCTGGTTTTCTCACTTGGATTCTTTCTGTGGGCAGAAGACACTGTATTCGATGCATCTCAATATGCATTCTTTGGTAAAGATCTTGTTGAGGAAGTTGAGTTAGGTGGATTGGAGGATGATGAAGAGGAGTTGCCTGCAGTTGATTTAGAAGAGGAGGAGTTTTTCTTTGATAGACAAGAGGTTCCATTCTCTCTTCATTTTGATATTTTCTCTACCTTTTATTTGATTATTTGATTTATATTGAAATGGAACCATTTTGAGTCCTAGGAATGTTTACATATTTTATCAGAAGAATTAGGGAATTGTTCCATTTTGTTGTGGGTTCTTAATATAAGAATGAGGATCTTCTGTGGTGTATGAGTGTCACTCTGTACTCTGGCAGCGTCAAATTACCAATGAAGTTTAGACAAAGGGGGTTGAAATTAGGATTATAAACTCATGTTGTGTGGAATTTTGAAATAGGTCCGTAAACTAATGAATTAACACCCAACACTTCCACTAACTTTTTGTTATGTCACCATTCAAAAAGTGAGGCCTGTCAGTTGTTGCTGCTGCACTTCATGCCAGCTATAGTTGTTGAAATTGTGGACTAAAGAAATACCAACTACTGATTGGATAATTATTGAGGGGCCACAGTTACAATCTTTCCTATTTTCTTGGTGGCCTTTTCATTCTGAGGAGGTGGGGTTCAAGATTGGGTCCTAAACTCTAGAATAATGTGTGAATCCCTAATCAATTTATAAAAGCTAGCAGTTGATCTCTGTTTCAAAAGTGGTAGCTACTTTGATGGTGCCTCTAATTGTTCCTTTCTTATTTGTAGGGTGAGGTTTTAAGATCCCTATCTGATGTTGATGATCTTGCAAGTACATTTTCAATGGTCAGTCTACTACTCACTTATGCTATTGTGTATGCTGTGAAGGTTGTCAAAAATAAAATCTCGTTGATAATCTTGCATTGCTTGGATGTCTTTAATTTATCATTCCTTTTCATGTTTCCAAGTGTAAGGTTGTGTTTAGTTAGAGTCCTTGGACATAAGGGACAGATACAAAAGGGATATAAATGTGTTTGGTTGAAGGGACAAAGATAGAGACATGAAAAACAAATCTGTCTCTGAAATATTTTTGGAGTGAATGTCCTTTAAATCCCCTTTATCCTAATTGTCTCCATTTAGTCTCTTCTTTGTTGAGATAGTAACTAAACACTATGTAAAAGTATCTATTAGCCAAGAAGACAACCATCTTATTCATGTATTAAGTGCTTCTGACAGTTGAAGAAAACAAATAGGTTGGATATTTAGGCAGAATTTTCATTGGATTTGAGGTTGCAACTATGTAGTTAATATGTTTATAGATCACCTTTTATTTTGGCAAGTTTCAACTTGCTTTATGCATGTGATTCCTTTTTTACTCAATCCTCCTGCACAGCAATTAGCCAGTTAGTCACATGTTTAAGGACCAACCTTTGGGTGAAAGTTCTTCACATGAGGGATTAGTATTTATATTGGCACCAGACAACATTCGTCTATACATAGCTTCTTGAATGCTGTTACCTGCCAATAGACCTGCCCCCATCTAGAGAGGAAAAAGGGAGAGCAAAGAAGGAAAAAACCCTTCTACTTATGAACATGTTTGTTTATTGATGTCTTTTCTGAAACAAAGTTGAAACGTGCAGGTTTATGTGAAATTTGAAAGTCAGTTTATGCTTTGATACTTCGACAAGTGTGGAGAACCTTTTGTTTTCTAGAAGATGGTTTGAATTTAAATAAAGAAAACGATAGTGATGTTGATTTTCATTGTTAGGCCTTTACTCTGTTTGGTAAAGGAATGGAGTGTAATTGGGGCATGTTGTAAATTTAAATCTTATCAATTTGAAAAGAGAAGGGAAAGGAAGATTAACCAATATTTTGTTTACTTTGGATCTTATTGGCAGTAGTAGGTATATTGGCTGTTTCATATCTTTGTATCAATGTGAGAAATATTTCAAAATATTAGATTATGACGGGTTTGCTTAATTTTGTATGCTTGATTACTCATTTATTTCAGTTGAACAAGGTTGTGAGTGGACCAAGCACTGGGATAATTGGTGATAGGGGCTCTAGAGAAAGTAAGTATTCGATTGCATAATTTTATTTGTTAATGTGAAATGTAAGATTGTAACTTAATCAATCCATAAATTATAGTTTTTTTCCCAGCTATTTTTAGTATTCTGTTAGAACATTCTTTTTCATTCCTGTGTTTTGTCACTTTATCATGCTATGGTTTATGCTGAAGTCCAGTGATTTACTTTTTTGTGTTTAAGATTGCACGTGGATGAGGCTGTTCTACTGCACTATTGTCCTGGCATATGTTATATGATGTGTGCAGCATGGAGCTCTTTTGTTATGGTCAAAATAATAACATCAAATGTATGACAGTTTGAACACAGGATTAGAAAGTTATTGGTAATTTCTTGTTCAAGATGTATACTTTTTGCAAAATGAAAAACCAACATGTACCCATGTCACTTGTTATTTCATAGAAATGTAACCAATATTGCTTTAGTTTACATGAATGTTTCAAAAAGATTTTTTATATGTTCCTTCAGCCTTATCAATTGCATTTCAATGGAATGGGATAAACTATGTAATTGCAGTGCAAAGTTTTCCCAATAAGGGTGTAGATTTACCATCGTGAGAATAAAGGGAAGTGATCTGGCTAGTTAAAATTCTGGACTTGGCTGAACTGAATCTATATGTTTGACATTTGTTCTGCATCATGATATATCAAAATTCTTTATGATGATTTCCTTGTATCCCATTTGTTTAATCAGTGTTTAAAAATTTAGTAAAATGTTAATTCTTAAATTGTTTTAAAAAAGATTTTTCCAAGTTTGGATTCATGTAACAAATGTAAATGAAACCTGTGTATAAAACCTTCCAGGTTCATCTGCTGCTGAATGGGCACAGGGAGAGGAATTTCCTAACTGGTTTGATCAGCAGCTACTTGATCCAGATGGCGTTCAGGATGGCAAAAGATGGTCTTCACAGCCATATTACTCTACTGCTCGCCTTGCAGAATCAAAGCCTCTGCACAGAACCTCTTCATACCCTGAGCAGCAGCAGCAACCACACCACCAACACTACTCTAGTGAACCTATTCTTGTGCCAAAATCTTCCTACACTTCATATCCTATCCAAGGTGGACGATCTCCACAGGCTTCACCAAATCACAGTCATCTAAATATTCCATATCTTTCTGGTGGCCACCAGATGGCATTATCTTCACCGAATCTCCCTCCCTTCTCTAACTCTCAGCCTCTGCTAAGCGGCTTACATCATGGTGGGAATTTGCCTCAGTTTAGTTCTGGTCTTTCTGCTAATAGCCGGCCACCAAGCCAATGGGTCAACCATACAGGCTTATATCCTGGAGACCATCCCAATCGCATGAACAATATGTTGCAACAACCATTATCTCATCAAAATGGGCTAATGCCTCCACAGTTGATGCCACAACTGCAGTCACAACAGCATAGGCTGCACCCCTCAATTCAGCCATCATTGGGCCATCTATCAGGGATGCATTCTCAAGTATTTAATCCCCATATCTCTCCATCCCCGCCTATGATGAACAACTTCGACACAATGCTTGCTCTCGCTGACAGGGATCAACGACCAAAAGCTGCTCAGAAAGTTAGAGCAATTATGCGATATCCTCAGCAAGGATTTGATGCCAATGGTCAGAAGATTGATATTGGCTGGCCACAGTTCAGATCCAAGCACATGACCACTGATGAAATTGAAACTATTCTCAGAATGCAGCTGGCTGCAACACACAGTAATGACCCATACGTGGATGATTATTACCACCAGGCATGCCTTTCAAAAAAAACAGCTGGGGCGAAGCTCAAACATCATTTCTGTCCAACTCACTTGAGGGATCTTCCTCCCCGAGCACGTGCTAATAGTGAGCCACATGCTTTTCTCCAGGTAGATGCTCTTGGGAGAGTTCCTTTCTCTTCAATTCGTAGGCCTCGCCCACTTCTAGAAGTTGAACCTCCAAATTCATCTGCTGGTGGCAATGCTGAGCAGAATTCTGTTGAGAAGCCCCTAGAACAGGAGCCAATGCTTGCAGCGAGAGTCACAATTGAAGATGGTCTCTGCCTTCTTCTAGATGTAGATGATATTGATCGAATTTTAGAATTCAATCAATTCCATGATGGTGGAGCCCAGTTGAGACACAGGAGGCAGGTCTTGTTGGAAGGGCTGGCAGCATCTATGCAATTGGTTGACCCACTTGGCAAGAATGGGAATACAGTTGGACTTGCTCCCAAGGATGATTTTGTGTTCTTGCAATTAGTATCTCTTCCCAAGGGACGGAAGCTTCTTGCAAGGTACCTTCAGCTTCTTTTTACACGCCGCGATCTCATGCGGATTGTTTGTATGGCCATTTTTCGTCATTTAAGGTTTTTGTTTGGAGGTCTCCCTTCTGATCTCGGAGCTGCAGAAACCACAAATAACCTTTCAAGAGTTGTATCTTTATGTGTACATCGCATGGATCTCGGTTCACTTAGTGCTTGTCTCGCTGCGGTGGTTTGCTCCTCAGAGCAGCCCCCACTTCGCCCCCTTGGAAGCTCAGCTGGAAATGGGGCTTCCCTCATTTTGATGTCTGTTTTGGAGAGAGCAACTGAACTATCAAATGATCCTCATGATGCTACCAACTATAATGTGACAGATCAGGCACTTTGGAAGGCCTCATTTGATGAGTTTTTTGGCCTCCTTATCAAGCATTGCATAAATAAATATGATAGCATCATGCAGTCTCAATCAGATTCAGATCCAGCTGAAGCTATCAAGAGGGAACTACCTATGGAGCTCTTACGTGCAAGTGTTCCCCATACTAATGACTACCAGAAAAAGCTGTTGTATGATCTTTCTCAACGTTCCTTGGTTGGTCAGGATGGTGGTAATGGTGGCCACATCAATTCTCAAGCAGTGCTGAGTTAATATGAAGCTGCATGAAAATCTAATACCAGGTCACTGAGAAACACAGTTCTAGTAATGTGAATATGGCAGGAATACTGTTGGAGCAGCAATATCACTGGGGATTTGCTTTTAATTTGATGTCCACACTGTGACTAATTCAGAATACACGAACTAAATGAAGCAGCAGGCTTCGGGAGCAACCTGTCATAAGAGTCGGCTTAGTTTTTTAGTTTCATTTTTTTTTTTTTGTCATTTCAAATCAATTCCGTGCTCCTGCCTCTACAAAACCTGTATAAGGCCTGTCCTCTGTTGTGATAGAATTCTGTTGGGTTTTTGTCACTTTCCCCCGTCCTCATAGTTCCTTTTGTCTCGAGGGCCTATTTTGATGCTCTGTTGTGAAATTCCTGATATTGAGATGTAGTGGGGTAGTTTGTACAGGGTTTGCAAAAAGGTTTCCCGCTTTCCTCTGCTATTTGTTATCAAGGAGGTGGGGTGGATATGATTTTCATGTTCTAGTTTGGGCACTGTGACATCCTATGGCAATAAAGCCAGGCAGGCGCTGGTGGCTGTGTTGTCGAACAGGGCAGCTAAGGAGTTTGAATTCTTCTAGTAATTACCAAGTTGAGCCTGTAACATTGCCTGTCAGTTTTTCTCATAACAATCATTTATATTGCATTAATGCTATACTGCATGCGTTTCTCCTATTGCTATATGATTCTTCCATCGAGCCATGTTTAATCTGTGGAGAGATATCATCGAGTTATTTTTTACAGTGCTTGCTGATGTATGTTTATGGACAATCAGAACTGATAAATGCTCGCATTCAAACTTAACTCCTGTATTGGGTGGTCTTGAAAGGTGTTGTTTTTTTTAAACTTAGAAGATAGTATGTTTTTTCAAAAAAATTGGTTTTTATAGAAAATGAATTGTTTAAAAGTAAATTAGTTTGAGAGTTTTATGAGAAATAAGTTGGAAAATATTGTTTAGCATTTGGGTATATTATAAAAAATAAATGAAAAATAATTTATTATTTTTTTATTTTTTTTTAAGTTTATTAAAAGAATGAGAATTGAATTTAATAAATAATAAAATTAAAAAAATAATAATTTTATTATTTATTTTAAATAAAATAAATATAGTTAAAAGAATAAGGAATAAGATTGATAGATTGAAAATTTCAATTAATAAAAAAAAAATTAAAAAAATAAAGATCAAAATTAATATAAAAATTAAATTCTACAAAAAAAAATTTAAAAAAATTCAAAATAAAATATATAACAATAAAAAAACTGATAATTCAGTTTGATATAATCAATAAATAATAAGATATTTTTGAATTTTTTACTATTTCTAGAAAGTATTCTCTATTTAAAATAAAAGGAAAATATTTTTTTGTAAATCAAACTAAATTTTTTTTTAACTAAAAAATATTTTTTATTAACTAACTTTTTTAATAGCAAACAAACATATAAAAATTTATAAAATAATTTATAAAAAATTACTTTTTATATAACAAATAAGACTTTAAAAAATATACATGATGAGTGTTTTGATCTCAAGATTTATGGTTCTATTTGCTGATAGAAATGAAAAATAACAGTAGCAAGCATAGAAAGAAAAATGACCACTCAAAATAGGGTTAAACCTTGATAAAGTAGAAAAAATCATAATCTTAAAATAAAAGTGAGGATAGCTAAAAGTATGAAAATAACATAAAATCTAGAAAAATCAAACAATAATAATAAAATCAAATCTAATATTTTTAGGGTTTAATTTGAGGTTTAATTTCTAGCTTAAATGTTTAGATTAAAAGTTACGAGATATTATTATTATTATTATTATTATGTTAGTTTAGCGTGATAAAATCTTCTTTTATGATTAACTTTGTCCCACGAGGTTTAACAAAATTAAATCAAACAATTTTTTTGCATAACATGAACATAGGCCTCCATTAATGTTTGAAAACCCTATAGATTTGTGATGAGCAATACTCCCTTGCACTATGCAGGGATGTTTGCAGGTCATGGCCGGCTCTTCTCTTGGGACTCTGGTTTCGCTGAAGGTGAATTCTCCTGAATGATCAAGTGCTCTGTATGGAAGAGAGAAGATTCTACACTCTTCACGTTAGAAGCTTCTACAGGAAGGAATTTGAAGGAGAATATGTTGACCAGTGTGATCCGGCAACCACGTTTGCTTGGAGTTCCATGTTTTTGCCTTGGTCTCTGTTAGTTAATTCATGCAACGACTTGATACGTCTATACGAGACTGGTTCAACAGCTTAGTATAAGCCTTACAGGTGAACGCATTAATGCTCCCCCACCTGAAAAGGAAAAGGGTTATGATTTGGACTTATGTGCACTTAGATTTAGGGCTTTTATCAAGATTTTGGAACAGGAAATCTTGGTAATGATGTTCTTGAAGCTGAGGAGTGCACACTTAAAATAAGTCTTGATATGGCGATGGTTTCGCAAAGTGATCAAATTGAAGACATTCCTTCCACATCCTGTCTGCAGAAAGCTAAAATGAGGCTGCAGGCATGACAAAAATTTCTGGTAGAGTGGACTTGCTGCTTGCTTGGTGACTTTCAATGCTTTTTGGATCACGTAGTTACCAAATTCGTCTTTTGAAACATGCAGTGGTTTGTTGGTTTTACTTGGAAAATCCTCAATTACCAGCTCTTCTATTCTGTATCCAAGCATTTTTGGGCGATATGACTGCCTCCTTTCTGCAATGAGATGGTTGCGTAATGGCCTCAAAGCAGATGTCATATTTTTTTTTTTAGTGATATGACCTTCTGAACCACACAGTTCCATTCTGGATCCTGTGACAGGAACACTGCATTTCTCGACAGATATCCAGGAGTCTATCTTTGCAGACCTTGGATTGTGTTAACGAACCTGATTAAGGCTATGGATCCTTCATGGTCTATTGCTACATCAAGACTACATGCAATGGCTCCTTCATTTAATAACTTGTTGTCTTCAGCACCCAGCTGGTTAAAGTACCCTGACACAACATATGAGCCTATCTGATTGGTCATGATAAGATAAAATGCCGCTCACAGAATGTCTGTCAACCAAAGGTGATCTCCTGAGTACTCGAATGACCTTCTTTATCGAGTTTGAACCATGTGTGTGGACTGTAAATGGAACAAAATCGTATGAGTACTTGGTCATCTCACATGTAATCAGTTTCAACTGTTGATTGTTCAATGAATCAACTAGCTCAGCAAAGACAAGCCATCCATGTTGATCATGCATCAGTTCGAAAACAATGGGGAGTCATCTTGATGACGTAGCCAAAACTTTCTTATATATCTCAGACTAATATCTGGGTTCCTCAACCTCAATAAACCATGAAAAGACAAGCCATCCATGTGGATCATGCATCAGTTCGAAAACAATGGGTAGTCATCTTGATGACGTAGCCAAAATCCTTGTTTATTGAGGTTCCTCAACCACAATAAACAACTAACCTCAATAAACCATGAAGTTGTTTATTGTGGTTGAGGAACCAAGAAAAATCCTTACATTATTGAGCTCTTCTTGATTCCGCACCATACTGAAATCAATGCCTCTTAAGTTTGAACCTACTCTACTTGTTCCCTCGTCGAGGACAGAAATACTCAGAGAACTGAGATTCAGAACAAAACTTCCTGCCCCGAGTTGCAGTATTGAACCTTGAAAATCCCCTCCATTTCCCAAACTGTTTGATCCTAGATAGTTTGAGGAAACAGTGGGAATGGAACTAAAGTTGAACTCGTGAACCCGGCCTATTATTGTTGGAGTCCATCCATCCTGGTATCTTGAATGCTCGGCAAAGAACCACCATTATCAACCAAAACATAGTTTCTTGTGCCACGTTTCCCTTTTTTCAACGCAAAGCATAAGGTTTTCGACAGGAGAGCCTGAAGCAGCAGCAGACATTGAGTTTGAGCTTTCAGGACCGTTTCGGAAGAACCTGAAGATTTCTCCATTGAAAAAAATATGCAAAAAAGAGAGCAGGAATACAAGAATTACAATACAAAGAAACAAAAATCTGAGTAATCAACAATTCTCGTGGTTTCATAGAGGGAATTGTAGAGGAGAGAACATTAGTCCTTGTTGGTTTAGGATTCCTTGTTTGTGAAGAAGAGTAGGTCTGTGTGTGTGTGTGTGTGTGTGTTAAATCAACTTTCGGTCTTTGTGTGTGTGTGTGTGTTAAATCAACTTTTTTATTTCTTGTGGGACAACAGAAATCAAATCCTTGACGAACATTTGTACGCATCAATTCTGTGCTTCATGCGTTTCTTTTATTGTTTCAATTATGATTATTCTTCCACTTGGATTATGAACTTGCAACCACTTCTACTAGGGAGTTCCTTGTTTTTTATATGTTTTCAAATTAATTAGTTCCGACGACGGCTTGATTTGTCTACGTAAGACTGGTTCGGCAGCTTTGCATGAGTTCAATTGACGATCTGATCTCTATACAAAAAAAAAAAAAACACTTGCTTTTGATTTTGACAGCAAGCGATTAAGATTATATCATTGCCTCCTTTTCATGGTGATATGGGCCAGTAGATATTGGTGTTTTGGAGACTCAAATTGTTTCTGCTGTTATAGAGATTGATCATACTAATTCTATAAAAGCATAATCTTGAACAGAAATTCTTGTTACAAAGAATCCATTTCTTCTTCTGCAACATCTATGGCTTGTCAAAGTAGTGAAGTTCTCATAAGGGAAATTCTATTATTGTGCAATGAAAAACTCTGCATAATCCAGAAGGAGAAATGATATCTATGCAAGGCTAACAACCTGAAGGAACATGATCTATCATGCAAAATTTCTAGGATATGCTCTTCTTATCGAAAAAGAAAAAATGTTTCTGATCAGATCGATTTGTTACTTCCTGTAAGCAGCGCCACCAATGTTGACAACAAACCAAGAAGAGCTTCCATGAATGCCTATAAATAGAGGCATATATGAGAGAGGAAAATGAGAGAGAAAGAAAAAAGTCAAAGATGTGGAAATGTAGAAGAGAGTGGGTTGCCAAGACAACCAGTAATAGCTGTCATTGCAGTACTGAAAAGAGAGAAATAGAGTGAGGTTTAGAGTTGTCAAAGAGGAGATGATTCCTCCTCTTCTATTATTGTAAATCTTGTACTCTCCCTACATAATGCAATGGCTTCTCCCGTGGATGTAGGCGGTTTTGCCGAACCACGTTAAATATTGTGTCAGTGTGCTTGGCCTCCTATGAGCAAATATCAGTACATCACCG